CTCCCAGGCCTCCATGGGGCCAGCCTGCTGGGCCCGCACGGCTCACTCCCATGAGGCGGCTGAGTCACCCGGCCCCTCCCCTCGTTCTCAGCACCGCCCTCTGACATTGGGCACAGTGAGGGAGGAGGTCACGGTCTTTCTGTTTGGCCGAGTGAGCTGCCTCTCCAAAGAAGCCATAGATTCCAAGGACAAGGCCTCCTTCCTAATCCTCCGAGGAAATGGCCCTCTGGGGAATTCCAGTAAGGAGCTGGGGAGGAACGGACATTTCCCAGGATCTCCTGTCACTGGCTCTGACTGTAGCCCTGAGGGACTGAGGTTCAGGAAGGTTCATCCAATTGCCCAAGGCCACACCTCTCTCCCGGGTCCAGATAACCTTCCCACTGGCCCAGGCAGCCCCACCAGCCCCTCCCTGCTGGGCGCCCCACCTGGTGTAGTCCATGATGGTGTTGAGCCGGTGCGCGATGGTCAGCACCGTGCAGCTCTCAAATTGGGTGCGGATGGTGGCCTGGATGAGGTCATCAGTCTCCAGATCAATGGCGGCCGTGGCCTCGTCTAAAACCAGGATTCGGCTCTTGCGAAGAAGGGCTCGGGCCAGGCACACAAGCTGCCGCTGACCCACACTGGACATGGGGAAGGCAGACATCACCAACTGGGGACCCCCGGCCTGGCCCCAGGCCTCACTCTCTGAATGGTTTCTGTCTCCTCTTCTTCCCAATGGCCCAGGACTAACCTCTTTCATTTCTACCCCGGCCCTGATCCCCTGGACCGGGAATCGGAGCAGGGGAGAGGATTAATGTGGGGCCTCGAGGATCGAGCCAGTGCTCAACAACCCTAAAATCTCCAGCTGTCTCTGGCACCTGGCCACTTCTTTCTTTGCCTTCTTCCTCCTCCTTCCTCCTCAGCTAGTGCCATGATGTTTCTCTGCTTCATTCTATCAGTCATTTACACCTTAGTAAGAAATACTTAAATGGCTCTCTCTGGATATTTGCACACAGATGTCATCTTGCTGAACCAAATATCACACAATTCAGATAGCCTCTCCTGCCCCCATGGGAAATATAGGCCAGGGCTGTGGGAACGAGGAAGGAGAAGGGCAGGGAAGGACCTGGGGGACTCCCCATGTCTGGTCACCGGGGAGATGGAGGAAGGGCAGGATGCATACCTTCAACCTCTTCCCTTGGAAGCCAGAGCTAGTGAACAAAGTGAGGCTGTGTTCCCAACCACAGAGGCTGCGGCAACCCCACACCCAAGGACAAATACCTCAGCCCTGCCCAAAGGGGTGAGTCACCACAGCCCAAGCGAAGGCCAGGCTCTCTCCCTGGCCCATTCCCACAACTAATGAAGGTTTTGGCCGCAGAATGAGCCGCCAGATAGAACTCGGGATTGATTTATGGTGGGACTGGCACAGGATACAGGTTCTACTTAAAGCAGCTACAAGCTCAGTGAGGGAGGCAGGGAGCCCATTTCTGTCTCAGGTCCTGGTGTACGTGGGGATGGAGGGGAAGCTCTGGGGAGGTGCTGATGGCAAGCAGGAACAGGAGAACGGGCCAAAAAACAACGCTGGGGCGCAGGGTCTGGAAGCTTAGGCTTGTCGGCCAGCGATGCCCAGCACGGCTGTGTAAGTGAAACCCCGTTAAAACGCCGTCTTCCAGGGCTGCCTGGGGAGGCAGGGACAGCCCATGGGTGGCTACAATGCAACAAAAAAAGGTTTGGGGCAAAAGCCCCCACTCTCCTGAGTTTCTGCCCCTCCCCTTTCTCTCTGAGCAGCTTTGGGCAAATCATTTTATATGTTGGAGCCTCATTTCTGGCCCACAGGGCTGCAGTCAAGATTAAATGAGATAGTGGAGGCCAAAGTGTTTTGAGCACCACTCAGTGCTGAGCAAATGTAAACGCTTTCTGGTTTTGTTTTTGAGGTCTGGAGAGAGTCCAATGGTACAGACCAAGTGGAAGAATAAGAATATGAACAGCTAAATTCTCCGGGAGTATATATATAGGCTGAGCACGTTCCATTTAATCACAGTGACCCTGAGACGGCTCTGTCCAAATGGCGGCCATTGGCCGCAGGAGGCTACAGAGCAGTGGGAGTGTGGCAAGTCTGCAGTGGGATGTGCTGTAAACGTGAAAACACACATGGGATTTCCAACTTAGTAAGAAAAAATGTAAACTATCCTAATCACTTTCATGTCCATTACATGTTGGAAATATATGTTTTTTCTATATATCAAGCTAAATAAAGTCCACTGTTAAAATTTATTTCACCTGTTTCTTTTTCCTTTTCTTAATGTGGCTACTAGAAAAAATTTTAATTAGACACACGTGGCTCACGTGATATTTTCATTGGGCAGGACGGTGCAAAGAGGTAGGGGACCGTCATTACTTCTATTTTAGCGTGGGAGAAAAGGAAGCGCAGAAAGGTTAAGCAACTTGCCCGAAATCACACAGCTAACACAGGTATGGGATTCTCAAGCTTTTAGACCAGTAGGAAGAGATTTCTGGCTCTCCTTGAGGCACAGCCCAGAGGTCGGGGCTATAAAATCTAGGGCTATAAAGAAGCAAAGAAGGACCTAGAGAGCTCACGTTCCTAAACTACAGAGGAGACTGCATCCATCTGGGCACACATGATTTGCCTAAAGCACTGTAGTTGTCCTCTCACCTGCTCCACAAGTTCAGTCCACCCCCCCGCCCCTGCTCCCCGTCTCCCCCCACCCCTCCCCCGGCCCGCTCCCCCGGCCAGTATGGCATTGAAAACCTACAGGACAGCCTTGGCCTGTTTGGCTCAGTGGATAGAGCGTCGACCTGCGGGCTCCAGGGTCCCAGGTTCGATTTGGGTTAGGGGCACATGCGTAGGTTGTAGGCTCAGTCCCCAGTGGGGAGCATGCAGGAGGCAGCCGATCAGTGATTTTCTCTCATCATTGATGTTTCTATCTCTCTCTCCCTCTTCCTCCCTCCTTGAAATTAATAAAAATATATTTAAAAAAAAAACAACAACACACACCTACAGGACAAGTCTGAATAGGGCTTTGGAATCTCCCAGACCTGGTTCACATCCCAGGCCTGCCTGTTCCCAGCTATATGACTTTGGGCCTGCCTCAGTTTCCTTCCAAGAGGGACCATGGACCACCTCTAGGGCTTATGGGAGGAGACAGTGAGATGGTGCATGCCTGGCACACAAAATGTATTCAAGACAAACAATGCCCCCTAAGGGCACCCAGGCAGATGGGAGCGGGGAGGGCCGGAGGGGGCTGTCACCTGAGATTCTCGCCTCCCTCGGAGCACTGGAAGTCCAGGCCTGCGGGCTGGGCGCTCACGAACGTGTTCAGGTGGGACAGCTCCAAGGCCCGCCATATGTCTTCCTCCGAGGAATTGCCGAAGGGGTCTAGGTTCATACGCAGGGTCCCCGAGAACAGGATGGGGTCCTGGGAACACAGCAGGGTCTTAGAGGGGGGTAGTTTGGGCCCCACCAGGAGCCAAGGGGTAAGAAAAAAAAAGGGATTTGAGGCGGCAGCATTCCCACCCTGTCCCCAGCCCTCCAGGAGGGAGGCAGTGGCCACGGAGATAGAAAATGCCTGTGGGGAGCGATAAACCTTAGCTTTGCCATCGCTAAGTCCTCCGCTACAGCAGGGACCCGCGCGCTAATCTGACTCCGAAGTGTCCGCTCAGCAGAAAAACGCCCCAGAGGAGCCAAAAAAGGGAAATGCCATTTAGAGCCGAGAAGCAAGGAAGCCGGGACCGAACATCTTGGCAATAGGCTGCTTTAAGGGGTCCTAGGGCCCTGGCCCCATCTGCTGGCCCCGGAGGTTGCAGGACAGGGTCTGATTGGGCCAGGGGACCCCTGACCCTCCCGGATCCATAACAGGTGGCCGCTCTGTGGCTCTGCTCCTACTGTCTGGCTCTCCAGTCTCGAGGTCCAGTCTTGCCTTGAGGAACAGGGCTGGGGTCTTCCCCCCAGGGTAACTGGCCCGCCCATGTCCGGTTCATACCTGGGGGATGATGGTCAGCTGAGAGCGCAGGTCATGAAGCCCGATGTCCGCTATGTTGATGCCGTCGATGCGGATTTCACCCCCTGAGGCCTCCAGGAGGCGGAACAGGCTGAGGGTCATGGATGATTTGCCAGCCCCCGTGCGGCCCACGATGCCCACCTGGAGGGGGTGGGGAGCGGCAGTCAGAGGGAGGCCCAGGGGTCAGTGGGGGCACCTCCTGGACTCCCCTAAAGAGGCCAGCAGACAGCTGGGATGGAGTACCCGCTTTCTCAAAGACCCACTCCCCCCACAAGGGGCACAGTCACGTCCCAGGCACAAAACCACCCACCTTCTCGCCGCCGCGCACGCGGAGACTCAGGTCCCTCAGCACCAGATCCAGGCCTGGCCGGTAGCGCACGGAGTAATTCCGGAACTCCACCTCGCCCCGCGTGGGCCAGCCTGCAGGAGGGCGGCTGCCCTCCACCACCCAGGGGGCCTGGCATGAGGGGAAGATGAATAAGAGTGCAGGTCACACACCATGAAGCCAGCCTTGCTTGGAGGCAGGGGCAGCCAGATTGTCAAACAAGCAAAACAGCCCTGGCCGGTGTGGGTCAGCTGGTTGAGCGTGCACCGAAAGGTCGCCGGTTTGATTACTGGTCAGGGCACATACCCAGGTTGCGGGCTCGATCCCCAGTATGTTGCATGCAGAAGGCAACCAATGGATGTTTCTCTCTCTCTCTCCCTCTCCCCTCCTCTCTCTCTAAAAAGCAATAAAAGCATTTTTTTTAAAAAAAGCAGTAAAGCAGCCAGTACAGACCTCGCTCTCTCAAGGAGGTGTCAAAAGATGGCCCAGCCAGTGTGGCTCAGTGGTTGATCATTGACTTATGAACCAGGAGGTCACAGTCCGATTCTAAGTCAGGGCATATGCCAGGGTTAGGGCTCGAGCCCCAGTAGGGGACACGCAGGAGGCAGCCAATCAATGATTCTTTCTCATCATTGATGTTTCTATCTCTCTCTCCCTCTCCCTTCCTCCCTCTGAAATCAATAAAAACATAGAAAATAAAAGTACTATGCCCGGTATTTAAAAACAAAACAATGAACAGCAGGGTTGGGGGGGGCGGGGGGAAGGGGGACAGAATATTTTAGGATATGGAGACAGGATCATGTGTATAGATAGGGGGAAATGGGAATGCTAGACATGAAAGGGGAGAATCTGAAGATCCCAGCAAGTGGAGGGTTTGAGGGATGATGGAAGGTGCCTGGGAAAGGCAGGGGTAGGTGGAGCCACAGGGGCAGGAGCGGTCCGGCTGGGAGGAACCAGTGGGGTGGTGGCTCAATGGAGACCGACAAGGAGAGAGCTCCAGTCACAGAACCCATGCCTTCCAAGAAAGGAGGGGCCATCTCATCTGCATGTCACCGAGAGGTAGAACTAGACGAGAACAGAAAAAATGTCCCCTAGGTTTGGAACCAGGGAGGTCATGGGTGAGTGGCTTCAGTGGAGTGATAGGGCCAGAATCCAGACGGCAGGGGGCAGCTGAGCCCAGCGATGCTGAGGAGAGCGCTGTAGACCATATTTTATTTTATTTATTATTATTATTATTTAATATATTTTATTGAGTTTTTACAGAGAGGAAAGGAGAGAGATAGAGAGTTAGAAACATCAATGAGAGAGAAACATCGACCAGCTGCCTCCTGCATACTCCCCACTGGGGATGTGCCCACAACCAAGGTACATGCCCTTGACCGGAATCGAACCTGGGACCTTTCAGTCCGCAGGCTGACGCTCTATCCACTGAGCCAAACCGGTTTCGGCTGTAGACCATATTTTAAAACAAGCTCCGTGACTAAGGGGAACAGAGAAACGGGGCAGTGGGATGCAGAAAGGGCGGGTTGGCTTGTGTGTCTAGATGGGAACCATCCAACAGAGGGAGCGAGGTGGGCTCATGCGAGTGGGGTTTTGTAGAGAAAGAGAGAGGAGGGCAAGGGGCCTGAGAGCACTGGTGCTGGTGGGAGCATCGAATCCAGGCTAGATGAGCTGACAAAGGGACAAAGACAGATGTCACAGGATGGGGAGTCCCAGTGAGGTCAAAGTGCTGTGATCGCGGAGGGTTTGGAATCCATGAGCTGGGAGGGATGGGAAGGATGGTCTAAACGAGGGATGCGTGGCACAGAGATCTCAGGGATGGGCAGCTTCTGGCACAGAGAGGTCTGGGGTTGGAGCGTGGGAGGGTGCGAATGGAGGAGTCGGAATCTCTCAGGAGAGGACAACTCCCTCCCCAGGCAAAGGGCAGGCTGCGCACCATGGCTCCTTCCACCAGGCGGATGGCTTTGGCCGGATGCTCACCTTCCCTGCCCATCCCGGCTGACCGGTCCTCTTTGGTGCATCACCCCGGAGCTCTGGTCTTCCACCCACACCCTGCAGCGTGTCTTACCTCCCCCGCGACATCGGAATCTGCTCAGGGGCAGAGCCTGTCTTGCTCCATTGGGAACCATCTATGCCCTCTAGCAAAGACCTCTGGCTGATGGCCAATCAGGATCGAATGAATAAATGAATCAATAAAGAGCCACCGAGTAGCTGGCTTTTGAGCTAGAGCAGCGGTTCTCAATCTGTGGGTCGCGACCCCTTTGGGGGTCGAACGACCCTTTCACAGGGGTCGCCTAAGACCATCGGAAAACACATATATAATTACATATTGGTTTTGTGGTTAATCACTATGCTTTAAGTATGTTCAATTTGTTAACAATGAAATTGGGGGTCACCACAACATGAGGAACTGTATGAAAGGGTCGCGGCATCAGGAAGGTTGAGAACCACTGAGCTACAGGGATGGTGGGCTACTGAGACCCCTCCCCCAGCTATTCCAGGCTCCTCCACCCCAGGTTCGCCCCGGTACCCACCTCGGTCTCCGTCTTGGAGTACTCCTTGACTCTCTCCACAGCCACAATATTAGACTCCAAGTCTGATAACATCCGTATCATCCAGTTCAGAGAAAATGTCACCTGGCCAAAGGGACTGGGTCACAAATAGGGTGACCTCCCCTCCCCCGCCGCCTGCAATGGCTTTGGGAGGCGTTCAGACTCCTTGATGTTGCTCCCCTCCCATCAGTGACCCAGGTGGGCCTGGGCAAGTCCATAGGGTGTGCCACTGAGGGCTCTACTCACAGCTGCACCTCTGACCGTGACAGTGCAGACTCACTAGTAACCAAGGGCCGACGGGGCTAGAGTTTCCCACACTTTGATATGCATGAGAAAGGCTTCCCAGAGAACCTTGCGGCCGAGCCAGCGGGCCTGTGGGAAGATTCTGCATCTCTAACAAGCTCCCAGATGATGTGGCCACAATTGGTGCTGGGACCAGACTCTGTGTGGCAAGGAGTCTTGACAGATATGCAGGATCCTGAGCCCCATTCTGGACGACTGGTGTCAGAACCCGCATTTTAACAAGATCGCCAGGTGATTCATCGGCACATGAAAGTTTGAGAAGAGTGTGATTGGCTTCACAAAATTCCAGTTGCCAGTAGTGACCTGCCCAATCTCCAGCCCAGGGGCTCTCCCTGCAGGCATGTGAAATGGGGTGTCTTCCAGCCCTATACCCACTCCCCCGGGAACCGGCAGGGCGGTGGGCCTTCTAGATCTTGTGCTCAGGCAGGACAAGTCTGTTTGTGTTTTGGGGCCAAGTGCCAAGATAATTTCTCCAACACCCCAAGGTAGGGCATCTCCTCCAGGCTCTCAGAACATTTTGTTCCTCCCTTCACCAAGATCTGCTCCCCCAGCATTATAATCCCCTGGGGGGGGGGAGTGTCTCTCCATGTGAGCTCAGCCCCTCCGCCCTCCCTGTGAGCAGAACCCGGGGCTGGTCCCCCCATGGGCAGAGCGAGGTGCTCAGGAGATGCCTGTGGCACCGGTGTGGCCTCTGCCCCAGTCATGGCCCTGCCCTGAGGCCGGGAGCCCTGCATACCTGTAGGGCATAGGACACCGACAGGCCCACCATCCCTGGACTCAGGCTGCTTCTCCCAATGACAGCGAAGAGTGCAGCAAAGAACACAACACAGTTCCCCAGGAACTCCACTCGGACCCCCAGCCACCTGCAAGGATGGAACAAGGAGGAATTGGTACAGAAGCAAGAAGGTGGGGGAGGGCAGTTTTCTGCTTCAGGGGAAGGAGCGGCTAGGCCCCAGAACACTGCAGGGACCCCAGTGGGAGCTGCTGGAGGGGCAGGGGTGGGGAGTTGGCCTCTGACCTGTTGGAGGAGATGCTGGGGTAGCAGCTCCTCTGGTTGGTGTCCACCTTAGCATCACTGATGGCCTCAAAGGCCTGGCTGCGGCCATAGGCCCGGATGACGCTGGAGCCAGTCACCGTCTCCGAAAAGTGCGAGTAAATGGGCGAGCGGCTGACCGACTCCAGCCGCTTCAGCTGCCGCGATGTGGCCACATAGAAGCGCTGGGGAGGACGGAGAAAGAGCCTGGGGTCAGGACTGCGGAGCCCAACTCAGCCCTGCACACCCTCTGAAGCATCAATGATGTTTCTCTC